AGCTTACTTGCTAAACTTCTGTCCTTTAACACTCTTTCTGGATGGGGGCCTTTGTGGAAAGCTGGCTTCAGTCAGCCATCTTGCCTCTGCCCCCAGCCATGTGTTTTTTAAAGTGGTTGAACCATTTTACATTTCACTAGAAGTATACAGAAGTTCCATTTGCTCAAATGGTGATAATGTTTAGTCTTTCACCATTAAATATGTTATCTGTAGATTGGTCATAAATGCCACTTAGGGTTTGGATTACTCATAAATGCACCTTAGAATATGAGAGATTCCCTTTTATTTTGAGTTCACAGAGAGTTTATTAGTAATGCCTGTTGAATTTTGTCAAATGTTTTTTCTGCATCTATTCAGATAACAGTATTTTTTTCTTCTTTAGTGTATGTGTACATATGGCAAATTCCATTAAGTGATTTTGAAATTTAAACCAATTCTGTATTCCTAGAATTAACCCTATTTGGTCATAATATTATTTTTATATACTGTGAGATTTTTTTTTTCTCCCAGAAAATTTTGCATGTATTTTCATGTGCAATGATGTTCTGTTGTATTCCTTTTTTCAATGACTTTGCCTGGTATTGTTATCAAACTTGTCTATTTCACAAATTAGGTGATATTCCCTTCTCTTAAATTTTCTAGAAGAGTCTATATAGAATTTGTAATAATTTTTACTTAAATGTTTAAAATAAGTCACCAGTGAAGTCATTTAGGACAGGAATTGTTTATTTGAAAAAGGTTGTGTTTTTTTTTGGCCAGGGCTGGGATTAAACCTGCCAACTCCAGCCTATGGGGCCGGTGCCCTACTCCTTTGAGCCACAGGTACCGCCTTGTTTGAAAAAGTTTTTAGCTACAAATTAAATTTCTGTAACAGAAATAGTGCCATTCAGGTTCTTCATCTTCTTGACTAAACTTTGGTAATTTGTGCCATTTGTGAAAGTTATGCATTTTATCTTAGTTGTCAAATTTAAAGGCATAAATTTGTTCATAATACTTCTTAAATTATTTTAAAATCTGTAGAATCTATAATATAATTACCTGTATTTTCTGATATGGTAAATGTACATCTTCTTTTATTCTTTTTTTTTTTTTTTTGCACTTTTTGCCCGGGACTGGGTTTGAACCCACCACCTCCAGTAAATGGGGCCAACGCCCTATTCCTCTGAGCCACAGGCACTGCCTCATCTTCTTTTATTCTTGATCACTCTAGCTAGAGGTTTATCAATTTTATTGATCTTTGCAAAGAACCAGCTTTTGGTTTCAGTGATTTTTCTCTATAATTTTTTATTTTATTTTATTGATTTGTGCTTTTATTTTTTCTTCTGCTTACTTTGGAATTAACTTGCTCTTTTTCTCTAGTTTTTTAAAGTAGAAGCTGAGGTCATTAATTGAAACCTTTCTTCTTTTCTAAGTACTGCTTTAGTAGCATCCCACAAATTCTAAAATGTTCTTTCATTTTCATTCAGTTGAAAACATTTTTTAATGTCTTTTTTTTTGTTTTTTACATATTCCTTTAGAAATGATTTCCAACTATAGGAGATTTTCCAGATAACTTTCTGTTGTTAGTTTTTAAGTTAATTCCATAGTAATCAGAGAACATACTTTGTATTGCTTAAACCTTTTAAATTTCTCAAGCTTTATTTTATGGCCCAGAATGTTGTCTACCTTGGTAAATGTATATACTTGGAAAGAATGTGCATTCTACCTAGGTAGCATAACATTCTATGCATGTCAAATAGGTCAAGTTAATCAATAGTGTTGTTCAAGTCTATATATACTTTCTGATTTTCTATCTACTTGTTCTTTTACTATAGAAAGAAGTATTAAAATATGACTATAGATAAAATTTGAATTTATTTTTCCTTACAGTTCTATCAGTTTTTGTTTCACATAAGAATTATCTTTTTCATTATTAAAAAATTAACTTCTTTATCCCTGTTACTATTTTTTTCTCTGAAACATACTTTGATAATTAAGGTATTTCAGCTTTATTATGACTAATGTCTACATGGAACACCACCTTGCATCCTTTTACTTTTAAGCAAATGTGTCTTTATTTTTAAAATGTAATTTCTGAAGGCAACATATAATTATGTTTTGCTTTTAATTCAACGTGGCAATCTCAGCCTTTTAATTGGAGTATTTAGACCATTTATATTTAACACAATCATTTATATGGTCAGACTTAAATCTATGATCTTGATAGTTTCCCAATTACTTTAGTGTAAAGTTTAGGCACCATTAACTCATCACAGTCTATCTTCAAGTAATATTATACTACTTCATGTATAAGAAACTTATAATAATATACTTAGATTTCTCCCCTCCAATCTTTATGCTGTTGTTTCATTTTAGTTATACGTTTGTTATCCCCACAATACAATATTATTATTTACATAACTGTCTTTTATAGTGATTTAAATAAGAAAAAAAATCATATGTATTTGCCCTTGTAATTACAACTGCCAGTGACCTTCATTCCTTTGTGTAGATTTTTTATTTCATCTAGTATAATTTTCCTTCCTGCTTGATGAACCTCTTTGACATTTCCTATAGTGTAAGTCTGCTAGTAGTGAATTTCTTCAGCTTCTGTATATGTGAAAATACCTTTATTTTACCTTTGTTTTCAAAATATATTTTTGCTGGGTATAATAGTCTAGGTTGCAGGCTTTCTTTTTTTTTTTAAGTGCTTTAAAGATGTTGCTCAACTTTGTTCTTGCTTGTACTGTTTCTGAGAAGAAATATAATGTTATTCTTATCTTAGTTACTCTGTAAAGTGCCTTTTTTCTCTAGCTGCTTTTAAGTTTTCTCTATCAATAGTTTTGTGCAATCTGATTACAATATGCCTTAGAGCAGCAGTTCTCAACCTGTGGGTTCTTTCCCCTTTGGGGGTCTAACGATCCTTTCACAGGGTTTGCCTAAATACATCTTGCATATCAGATATTTACATTTTAATTCATAACAGCAGTAAAATTACACTTATGAAGTAGCAATGAAATAATTTTATGGTTGGGGGTCACCACAACCTGAGGAACTGTATTAAAGGGTTACAACATTAGGAAGCTTGAGAACCCACTGCCTTAGAGTAATTTTCTCCTTGTTTCTTATTTTTGGAATTCACTGAGCTTCTTGAAATTGTGGATTTATAGTTTTCCTTAATTTTGGAAATTTTTAATCCATATTTCTTCAAGTATTTTTTCTGTTTTCCATCTCTTCTCTTTTCTGGGACTCCAATTACATGTCTATTTGGCTACTTGAAACTATCCTATAGCTCACTGATGCTCTTCATTTTTTCTAAATTAGTTTTTCTGTGTTTCATTTTGAATAGTTTCAATTGCTATGTCTTCAAAAGTTTACTAATCTCTTCTTCTGTTATTAATCCCATCCAGTGGATTTTTCATTTTATACATGGCAGCCCAAAGAGAGTCTTTTTTACATTTTCTATGTGTCTGCTTAACTTTTAAACATGCTGAATACAACAAAAATTTATTTGCTATTCTATGATCCATGTAGGTTCAGAGTTGGTTCCAATCAACTGATCACTGTCTTCATTATTGTGTGCATTTTCCTGCCTCTTCATGTGCCTGTTAATCTTTGGAAGTCAGATATTGTGCATTTCACCTGTTGGGTACTAGATATTCTTGCATTCCTATAAATTTTCTTGTGTTTTGTTCCCAGATGCAGTTAAGTTACTTGGAGACAGTTTGATCCTTTTGAGTTTTACCCTCAGTCTGAAGCAGTGTTCAGGCTAAGGTTAATTATGTCCTAGTACTGAGCAAGACTTTCCTTAGTATTCTACGCAATGCCCAATGCCCAATGAATTTATGAGATGCAGTCTAGCTTGTGAGATCAGGAACTATTCCTGGCACTGTGTGAGTGCCAGGTTCTATTCCTTCAAATCCTTTGAGATAGTTTTTCCTTTGGCATTATGTAGTTTTCTCATATGCACTTACAAAACAATGATACTTTGCTGAATACCCGAAGAGGTCCCTCAACAGATTTCTGTGGTTTTCCTTCTATGCAGCTCTCTCCTTTCTGATTCTTAGTCCCACAAATTCTAACTACCTTGGTTAACCTGGACTCTCAGTTCCATTACTCACATTAGGGAATCTGCTGGACTCAACCTGGGTTATCTCTCCCTCCCAGTTCCAGGTCTGGGAACTGTCTTATGGCAACAAGCTGGGAAAGTACAGGAAACAACTCATTTGTTTTCTATTTCTCAGAGATCACTACTTTATCACCTGATCTTTTGTGATTTAAAAATCATTTTTTAATATATTTTGTCTTTTTAAAAATTGTTTCAGGTAGAAGTATGAATTTATTCACTATTTCTTCAAATGAGCAGAAATCTTAAATTTGTATTTTTACTTAGAAAATTGACAAAATTCAAACCCAAAGTGAAATGTTGACACTTTGAGGAAATAACCATTGAGTAACCCATTCAGAAAGAGAGATGTAAATAACTTCCTAATGTTTAGTTCCATTTAATAACACTATGCTTCTTTGTTTAGCAGACTCATTGAATACTGATTATCTGTGTATTATCTGGGGCATTTAATTCTACTGGGAAGCTCTGGTCACCTCTGATGAGCTCCTAAAATGCTCACCAATAGGACTCAGGGTCAACATTCTCATAGAAAGATAAGATTGTGACAGGAGTGTTGAGTAAAAGGAAAGGAATATTGTTCCATTTTCAAGAACTATTATGGGTTATAACTCTTTTCCTATCTGCTTGAGTAATAGCTATAGTAAATACAGAATATCCTCAAGGAGGTAAAGCAGGAAAAAAAGGTGTCCCCTGGGATGAAGCTGGGAAGAATGTCTATTGCCAAAACTCAGAGAGACCAAATTTTACTCCTTGGTTGTGTTCTTCCTGTGGAAGTTTATTCTGGTGCCAATAAGTGAGAAGCCCAAGGGCTCCCACCTCATGTTTTGATTTTTCTAAGAACCAGAAAAAAACTACTTGTCTCCCACCTACTAAGACATTTAGAATCAATTACCTGCTTGAAGCAATGGACAGGCGCTGGGACTGAACATGTTTCTTTTAGGTATTTGTCCCAGGTAAAATGACCTGTAAAGGAAATAGAAATCTCTATCACAGTCAACTTCCTAAAAAAGTGCTTTGGGGATATAATCTACACTAAGCATTAAGCCATCTGCAGACTGGTTTTGAGAATAACTTTTTTTTTTTTACTGTTTGGGCTCAAAGGAGTACTGGGGGCGGGGGGGTGGGGGCGGAATCTACGTGATCTGAGAGGATCTTTTAGATTAATGTTTTAAAACAATGGTCTGAAAGATGACTTGAGATGTTTTTCATGTTAGTTTATAAAGTGATCCAAAAATGTCAGAGCAAGATATACCAGTATTGCAATTCTCAGGAAGCTCATGGAAAACAGAAGAGGTAGAAAGTAGGTGGGGAGATTCCTTTTGAATAACCTGACTCTTTGGAGAGGTGCCTATTGCTGTCAAGTGACAGCTTTTAACACCCAATATGGTTAGATCCCACCTTCTCAGCTCAGGAAGAATGAAGAAAAGGATACCTAAAGATATAAGGTGAGAGGATTTGTGGGGGTGGGGGGGCAGATGAGTGAGATTATACTTGAATCCTCACTCTAAAAACTGGACAACTCTCACCTTCCCCGACCCTAGTCCTATTCCAGCCATGGCAGCATTGCTCTGAGGTACAAAATGATGAAGACCTGGTAATTCAGAGAAAAGCAGAACCTGATGATAGTAAATAAGAACAAGTGGGGGAGTCTACAGAATCTTTTAGGCTCCTAAAGTAGCCTTAGAGCCTCTCAAAGCTTGAAGAATTCTGTGCTAGAGAAACAATCTTTAAGGTGGCACTATGCTGGGGCCAAGGAAAACATTTTAAGAGAAAGGCTATTAAATACAGATCTTATTGGCTTGCAAAAGATTACCAAGTTTTTTACTTAAGGTTAAACCAATTACCAATCTCCCCCAATACCCACCTAGAGGTGACCCCATGGTGGAGCAGGGAAGGTCCCAGAGAATCTCACAAGCTAAAACACTGTAGCAAACCAGCATTTCTTGAAGTTTCCTCTGTAGTGGAGCAGCACAGGGCCCCTTTGGGCCATGCAAAAAGCACTAGATGCTGAGAATAAAAATGAGTCACTGAATGATGAAATCTAAATCACTCGAAGATGATGCCAAGACTTTACACTCTATTGACTTTGTAGCTTCTGTTTTAAAACTGGTTCTTTTCCCACCATCCTTCACTAAGCCTAATAGATTTGGCCAGAAATCACAGTCAGTTTTGAACCCTTTCATGAACTCACTGATAATTAATAATCATGAGTAGACAGTTAGTTCATAGGGTAAATGAAAATATTTCTTGAAGTCAAGATTTAAAGAGGTTATCAGAATTTAATGAAGAATTGCTACTGGCTGAGAGGGCCCTAAAGTATGGACTGAATACATTTCATCATTGTTTGCTGTTAGAAAAAGAAAACTTTTAAAAATTATTGTTCCATCCTTACAAATGAAAGATTAAATCATATAGTTAAGTCTTAGATTTCACTGGACTGAGCATCTTAAACTCTAGCATCTAGAGTAGCACTGCCCAATAACTTTCTGTATTGACTGAAACATTTTTTATCTGTGCTATCCAATAAGGTAGCTATGAACTACATGTAACTACTGAACATTTGCAATGTGGCTAGAGTAAAGAACACTATTTTAAATTGTATTTAATTCTAATTATTTTGAATTTAAACACCTACACATGGCTAATAGCTATTTTAACCGGCAGCAAAGGTCTAGAGGTTGGGCTGGTCCAAGGCAATTGCTCATATTGGCTTGAATTCTGATCAAAAGCACCCAAGAGACTTTGGTTTTAAGAATTATGGTAGCATCAGGGGTACCACAATAATTAGGGTATTAATTACAGTTCTCTACTACACATTTCGACCACGGTAATCAATCTGTATGCTGTAATGCACATAGGCTAGAAATCTCAGACTTTCCACTACTTAGGAAAACATCCTATTACTAACTGAATTAAAAGGAATCTTTTTGTTTAAAGAAGTCTATCACATTGTGAAAGATGACTGGCTTGAATCATATCTAGATTAGCGTTTACCTTCTGTTTGACTGGTTGGGCTTTCTAAGGCTTAGTCTCTTGTTATCAGGAAAACTGAGAAGTAATTTTTATTGACTGAGTAAGAATACTTGAATACCTACTACAATGCCCATCATGAAGCCAGACATCATATATCTACCATAGCCCCAAGTGCTAAAATAATCACAAAAAAATAGGACAGGCAGCAACATGTAGATTAGGAGCTGGCAAACTCTCTTAAAGGACAAGATAAATAATTTTATGTTTTATGGGCCATAATACTCAACTCCACTGTAGTATGAAAGCAGTCATAGACAATATATAAATTAATGAGCATGACTGTGTTCCACTAAAACTTTATTTACACAAATAGGTAGAAGGCTAGATTTGCTTCCAAATAGCAGTTTGCCAAGCCCCTATTACAAATCATTAATTCCCAAATGATACTCATAGTTTTTCTCATTTCTTTATAAAGAGTTCTGGGCCTTATTTTCAGAAGTTCTCATTCAGTAGGCTCTAAGTATTCTGAGAATATGTATTTTTGAAGATTCCCTAGGTTACTCTGATTTACACACCTATGTCTAGGAACTACTAGTATAGTTGAGAGAATGTAATATTGGGAATCAAAGGATGTTGGTAAAAGTCTTGTTTCTATAGCTAACTATGTTGGGTAAATTACTTAATCCTTCCAAGCCTCAGTTTATCCATCTAAAAGATGGAGATAATACCTGTCTCACAAGATTCTTCATTTGATAAATATTTAAATTCCTTTTAGATAAGAAGAACTGTATTAAATGTTAGGGTAACAAGACAGACAGTGTTCCTAAGTTCATGGCATTTTTCAGTCTAGAGATATTAAATTAATGAGGTAGTACCTGTTGCCTTGAGAATGTAGAACAGGGAAATCTAGTTCATACTTAGGGTCAGAGACTATTGTGAAGATTAATAACTAATGTATGCATGTTTTATGATTATACTTTATACAAAATTATACTTTGAATGTTTTCAGTTATTCAACAGGTATTTATTTAGTGTCCTTTATGTGCTAGGCAGTAATGATAGGGGAACCTGTCCTCATGGAATTTATATTCTGATGTACCATGAGACATAAAGAAATAAGCAAAGTAATAAATGATAAATACTTGAAGAGAATAAAATGAGGTGATGCGATATTTTAGTAAGGTTATGAACAGAAGCTCTACAGAGCAAATACCAGAGCTGAGATTTTACAGATGGGTAAAAGCCAGTTATCTCATTTTTATTACTTAATAATGCTTATGAACGTGTTCTAGAAACTCTAAGTACACCTCATGACACTTGCATTTATTAATTAGGAAAGAAATCCCTGCCCTGAAGGGACTTATAAATGGCATAAAAGTACCTTTAAAATATTAAAAGGTCTGTAAAATGTAAAACACAAGAGGTCACTTAGTTGAATGCATGAATCCCCCTCCTTGAATATTTATTCATTTGGCCTAATATTTATTGAATACCTACTATATGCCATGCCTAGTTCTAGATACTCACTTGCTGGTGATATACAGCAAGTAACAATACAGCCAAAGTCTCTGTCCACATAGAATTTAGCCTCCAAGAGAGAAAATAGACAATAAATAAATAAATAAATATCAGTTCATCCAGAGGATAACAGAGACACCAGACAAATAATTATAAAATTCCTGGCTGTTTTCAAATAAAGAAAAAATAAAGCAAGGAAAGAGGAAAGAAAAGGTGTATGTGCTATTTGAGGCAGGATGGTCAAGAAAAGTTATCTTGATAAAGTGATATAAAAGTAGAGACCTGAACGGTTCCTCCAACCTCTGCTTAAATACTTCCAATCATGGGACACTTGCTATTTGGCTATTATTCAACAGTCCAAATGGATAAACTAATCTTTATAGTAAGCCAATGTCTGTCTTTTAACTTCCATTGATTTTAGATATACTCTCTCTCTCTCTCTCTCTCTATATATATATGTATATATATATATATATATATTCTTTCTCTAAATATGTCCCAAATCTATCAACTGTTCCTAATTTGATATGTTGATGCCTCATGCTATTGTTTTGGTCACATTCCTTTGTAAGAATTCCAGTTTGTTCAACCTAAACGTGAACCCAAATTCCTAAGATCAATAGCAAAGAAGAGTAGGAGAAATCTCCTCTATTACTGTTCCACTGTTTATATGTAACAAAATTTATATAATTTAACAATATTTGTTAAAAACTATTGATGATCATTTAAGTATTTTCTAATTTTGATGAGTATCTTTGTACGTACTTTTTTTTTTTTTTGAGATAGAGCCTCATTTTGTCGCCCTCAGTAGAGTGCCATGGCATCACACCTCATAACAACCTCAAACCCTTGGGCTTAAGCCATTCTCTTGCCTCTGCCTCCCATGTAGCTAGGACTACAGGCGCCTGCCACAAGGCCGTCTATTTTTTAGAGACAAGGTAATGCTCTGGTTCAGGTTGGTCTTGAACCCGTGAGCTCAGGCAATTCACCTGCCTCAACCTCCCAGAATGCTAGGATTATAGGCTTGAGCCACTGTGCCTAGCCTGTGTGCATACATTTTTGAACATTTTTAAGATTATCTCCTTAGGACAAATCTCAAAAAGAGAGACTAATGAACAAAGAGCATGCACATTTTAGATTTTGATAGAAGATATTGTCAAAATATACTCTAGAAAGATTGCACCAATTTTTATTCCTATTAATATTTTAACAGAATGATCTCCACATCTTTGCTAAGACTATTTTAGTAATCTCTATAATTCTGAAAAACCATATTAGTAAAAAAACGAAACATGGTTATATTTTATTTGCAATTCTTTCATTAGTAACAAAGATCTTTTTTGTTTTAGCCAGTATTTTTGCCATTTTTCTGCTGAAATATTCTTTTGTTTTAATACAGATTCTAAGAGTTCTTTGTAGGTTAAGGAAAACTCACCAGAGGTATTTTTATTTAATAGAAATAAAGCAAATAGAGTAGGTGCAGTGTTCTTTTCACTATGTCACAGGTATCTTTGAAAGGACACAGACTTTAGTCAACAGAAAGAGAGGCTTAATAAGGGAAGAAGAAATCAGGCTTTTTGGAGGGTCTGGGAAGGTATCTCTAAGTGAGAAAGGTCTGGATTTGAGATGTTTCACAGATTTAGAACAATATTCAAGCAAAAAGAACTCTAAGGATTCCTAAAACAAACTTCTAGCTTTCTTGGTCCCACATCTTTGCTCAATGAGTCCTGTTCAGTGACTAAAGCTCAGCAAAAACGCTATTTTCTTTACAAAGTTGTCTGACTTTTCTCTTTCCCCAGAACAAATTTTACCATTTCTCCATGTGCTCTAACATCTTGTTTACATTTTCATTTTCATTCTCATCACATTACCAGAATTATTTATGTAAGCTCTTTATGGATAAGGGCTTTTATTTACTTTTTTATATTTGCTGTTTAACACAGTGGCTAGAATTTAACCGAAGCTCAATAAATGAATGAAAGGCAGTAGCACAAAAGTAATAATCCTACTCTTTCCTAGACTAGTAACTCATACATAGTATAGTTCTGCCAGAGCCTAAATCATGACCTAGTGGTTAATGGGCCCAAAACTGTGTCGCCTCAAGACTAGTTAAAGAAAAATGAATAATCAGCATGAGTAAAAGAGGAAAGTCTCAGAGCCATTCCTCATCCATCCACCCAACAAATATTTATTGTGTACCAAAGCATTGTTCTGGGCTCTGGAGAACCATGATCAAAATGTTATCCATGACCTTGAAGAACTTCAGTCTAGTTAGGGACAGAGACTAAAGAGGCAACTATATGATATTGAGTTAAGTGCTACACTTGGAGAGACAGAGGGCATCAAAGAAACACCTAGAGTGTTTGTGTCTAAGCCAAAGTGTAAAAGGACAAGCAGGAGTTAGTTGAAGAGAAAAAAAACTCTCTTCTTTGTTTCACATGGAAATAAAAACATGAATAAAGGCTTAGAAGTAAGAAAAAACACTTCTAAAAACTGGATGTTCTGGTAAGGTTACAGAGTGGAGTTTAAAGAAAAACATAGTTTAGAGAAGAGGCTGTAGATAAAGGCAGTGTTCAGACACCAGAGAGCCTCATATACCATGTTATTGAGAAGAGGAAGAATTGAAGGGTTTGTAAAAGAATCACTGTGGAGGATCAGGCTGGAGCCCAGAAGACTAGTTAGGAAACTTATGGTAATCTGGGTGTGAGATGTTGGTAGCTTGAACTCGGCAAGTGACAAGAGTGGCAAGTGACAAGAGTGGCAAGTGACAGAGTGGCAAGTGAAAAGACAGTTCTTAGAACTGCTTTCTAGAAACCAGAGGCCAATGAGTAAAAAGTAGGCTGAATCTGTACCATATATCCATAAAAGTTACAAATATAACTAATAGAAATTACAAAGAAAAAAATTTTGGACAAACAAGTATCTGTCTAAATATGAAATGAGTCTCCTGAGGAGGCCTTAAGTACTCAGCAACTTGAGAAGTTCAAGATGAGACATTTTATAATAAATTTAAAATGTCGAATTTTGAAATGCTGGGCTAGGGTAGATCATTTCAAGGTCTTTCCCAATTCTGAGATTCTACAGATGTACTAAATTTCATTTTGATTTGATATTTGGGATTGCTTCCTATGGTTGATGGGAAAATGAAATATGGAGGATTAATTTATATCAGAGGATACAACTATATGACCAATACTCTCACAAGTATTCAAATTTTAACATCATTTAATAATTAATATATTTTATGTTAAATTGAGCATCCATGCCAACAATTAGGTTGTTTACGATATGCCTTATTCTTTTATTGAACTGCAACAGTTATTATTATTCATTTTAGTAACAAAACCAAAAGAGGAGCAGCTACCACTGATTATTTCCCATTTGCCTACATTATGCTGGACTATATTCAATATCTTCCATGTTCATTATAATCTGCCAAGGGGTTTTATTCTCATCTTAAAGATGAGGAAGTAGGCTCAGAAAGATTAAGTAATTTGTCTCAAGTCACAGAACTGGCAAGTGGTGAATAGGAATTTGAACCAAAGCCTGTCTAACTCCTATGTCTGTGCCTTTTCTACTACAGCACCTTAGAAAGCATGAGGAAAGTTTTAAAGAATAAAAAACAACTATCATTTACCAAGTGCCAGGCACCTTTACCTGCATTATTTCATTTCATTCATTTCTTCAGCTCACATTCATAGAATGCTTCACTTCAAAGAATGTCAGAAGATTTGACTTAGAGTAAAGTCTGAGTATAGCCGCTGAACAGAATGAAAATCATAATAATCCTCCAAAGTTGAAAAGTATCTGAGAGTTTTTAAGATGTTTTCACATCCATTAGCTCATGTAATCTTCTTTACAACCCTGTGAAGTAGGCAGAATGGGATTATTATCCCCATTTTACAAATAAGAAAACTAAGGATCAGAGTCACAAAGTTACTATGTCGCAGAATTGGCTCTCACAAAACCTAGGCATTCTGACTCCTAATCTAGTTTTCTGCTACTTTATGTTATAGTCTGTGTCAGTGGGCAATAGAAAGTAATGTGCTATAGGAGGAGAAGGCAAGAGGAGGCAAATAGATAATTATTATAGGAGCTGAACACATAAAGTTGTTGTAACTAATACATAAAAATACTTAAAAATTGATAAAAGTATCAGAGTATCAATATTAATGTAACATGCAGAAGGATTTTAAAGGATTCTAAGATGTTAAGAATGATGTTTATGTAGGAATCTTGAAAGCTAAGAAATATTACTTACTAGTTTGATTCCTTAAATCTTAGTCCTAAAATATACCAACCAGGGAGGAAAACAAAATGTATTATCAGTTTGACTTCTTACTGATAATACTTTAATATTTTGCTTTTTATTTAACTAAGAAATTGGCTTAATTTAGTTTAATTTATGTTATGACTAATTGGTTTAATTTTAGTTTAATTTATGTTATGAGTAATTTCTTTAGGGACAAAATCCACCAAACACTGATTTATAGACATTGTAGGGGTTTGTTTTAGTTCTTGATTCAGTGAATTAAGAAGTTACTTCCACTTTAGTTTTTTCTGTTCCTTTTCTTCTGTATATTCTATGTAATTTATCACCTCCTTTCTCTTGGTCTGTAACCTTCTGGTAAGTAGGCCTTTACGTGACAGCTGAAATGAATTACATGGGCCAATTAAGCAGACAGGAGCAGCAAGGATTCACTGGTTTATGAGACAGACACATGGAATTCTTTTCCTAGTTGATTAAAACTAGTTCCAATCTAATTCCTAGTTTAGTAATTCTTCACATTTCACAAAATCACAAGAAAAATATCTTACCTAGCTCCAGGATGTCAGCAGCTTCTATTAAAGAAAAAAATGTTACAGCATAAGTTATCATGACAAACACTCCGAAATGACAGAAGTTGAAATTCTAAGGTAAAATAGGGACTTGAGGGTTTTTTCAGTCCAATTATCTCATCTTGAAAGAGTTTCTTTCATGGTTGTGGAAGTACCACTACCCAATTTTGCCTTATTCCTAAAACTAAACCTGCAAAAACTATGGAAAAACAGAGAGGCTAAGGAAGTATGCCTAGAACTACGAAACAAATTTGGGATTAACTATACTCAGGATCTAGGTTTCCTAATTTTCAGCTTAAAACAAAGAGTATTGCTTCTGTATGCCTTTGTAA